AACTGAAAAAACCTGATGAAGATGAAGATAAAAACACTTTTTCTTATCAAGAGCATAAGCCATGTGGTTTTATGCTTAATATGGTTAATGCTGTTGATAATACAAATTATGAATTTATGTATCGTGGTAAAGATGCTGTTGATGTGTTTTGTCAAAAACTTAATGAGATTAGGGCAGAAGTAAAGGAGAAGATGGGAGAAAACGAAAAAATAGACATGACTGATGAAGACAAAGAAGATTTTAAAAATGCTAAAAACTGCTTTATTTGTGGGGATAAGTTTAGAATGAACTATAAGAATGCCAAGGAAGAAGAGAAATATAGAAAAGTTAGAGACCATTGTCATTTTACAGGTAAATATAGAGGTTGTGCTCATAATGTTTGCAATCTTAATTTTTGTAATAGATATTTTAAAATTCCTGTATTCTTTCATAACATGAAAAATTATGATGGACATTTAATTATTCAAAATGCGGATAAATTAAGTAACAACAATAAAATAGGTGTCATCGCTCAGAACAGTGAAAAATTTATTAATATCAGTTTTGAAAGTTTGAGTGTTAAAGACACTTTCGGGTTTTTAACTGCTTCATTAGATAAGTTAGTTTCAATGAGTAAGTATGATAATACAGATGAAGAAGATAAAAGTAAATGGTTATTGCGTGAAGACTGGAAAGATAATTTTAGGTTCAGTAGTAAAAATGATGTGATTAAGAGTGAGAAATGTCTAGATTTATTAACTGATAAAGGCGTTTATCCTTATGACTACATGAATTCATTTGATAAATTTGATGATGAGCAATTACCGAGTAAGGATGATTTTTATAGTCAGTTGAGTGAAGAAGGTATAAGTGTTAACGACTATGAAAGGGCAAAAATTATATGGAAGCATTTCGGCATTAAGAATATGGGCGAATACCATGATTTATATTTGAAAACTGATGTATTATTATTGACTGACATTTTCGAAATTTTTAGAGATGTATGTATGAAATATTATGGATTGGACCCTGCTTATTATTATACATTGCCTAACTTTGCTTTTGATGCTATGCTTAAAATGACTGGTGTAGAGATTGATTTAATATATGACCAAGAAATGTATGAAATGATAGAAGCGGGACTTAGAGGCGGGATGTGTATGGTTTCTACTAAAAAAGTTGAAGCAAATAATAAATACATGGGAGAAGAATATGATAAAAATAAAGAAAGTAGTTATATGAACTATTTTGATGCTAATAATTTGTATGGGTTAAGCATGATACAAAAACTGCCATATAAAAATCTAAAATGGGATGATACATTAAAAGAAGAAGACATTATTAATTACAAAAATAATAATATTGGATATATTCTAGAAGTGGATTTAGAATATCCTAAAGAATTACACGATTTACACAATGACTATCCAATGGCACCTGAGGTTATGAATGTTAAAGCCGACATGCTGTCAGATAAACAAATTGAAATTTATGAATTTTTAAATCATAAAAAACCTACGGATGAGAAAACAAATAAATTAGTATTGAATTTAAATGATAAAGAAAAATATGTAATCCATATAAGAACCTTACAATTTTATTTGAAGCAAGGGTTAAAACTTAAGAAAATTCATAGAGCAATTAAATTTGAACAAAAAGAAGTTTTAAAACCTTACATTGAGTTTAACACTGAGAAGAGGAAGAATGCTAGAAATGATTTTGAGAAAGATGTTTACAAATTGATGAACAATGCCATATTTGGAAAAACAATGGAGGATAAGCGAAAACATTTAGACTTTGAAGTTGTGAGTGATGAAACTAGATATATGAAGTGTGTAAGTAATCCTAACTTCAAACATAGTCATATCATTAATGAAAATTTGGTTGGAGTTGAAAAGCAAAAAACAAAGTTGAAACTAGACAAACCTATATTTATTGGGATGAGTATTTTAGATTTGAGTAAGCAACACATGTATAAATTTTATTATGACGTTATGAAGCCTAAATATGGAGATAATATTAAAATGGTATATACTGATACTGATAGTTTTGTATTTCATACTAAAACCAATGACATTTATGAAGACCTTAATATAATTAAAAAAGAATTAGATTTTTCAGATTATCCTAAGGAACATAAATGTCATGATGAGAATAACAAGAAAGTATTAGGGAAATTTAAGGATGAATTAAAAAGTAAAATAATAACAGGGTTTATAGCTCTTCGTCCTAAATGCTATGCTTACTCAGTTTATGGTGATGATAAAAAATATAAGAAATGTAAGGGAATAGCAAAAGGCACAGTAAGACGTCAAATGAAATATGAAGAGTTTGAGACGGTTTTAAAAACTAATGAGGTTATACATAAGTCATTTAATAGTATTAGAAGTAAAAACCACAGAATTTTTAGTATAACAACTAAAAAAATTGCTCTTAGTAGTTATGAAAACAAAAAATATTGGATAGATAGTGTAAACTCACTTGCTTACGGCCATTATAAGATAAATTCTTTGAAAACGACTTAAAGAAATATTGACTTAATATATTAAGAGGAAAAATGACACTGTTTAATTATAGTAAGTGTGAATGTTGTAATAATAAAAAGAATGATATTAATTTTACATTGTATAACTTATTACCTGCTAATCTGTGTAATAAAATAAGTGAATATGATGTATATTGTAATCAATGCTGTATAACAAGAGACCTTGAAAAGTTGTTTGTTGAAGAATATAAGGATAAGGGATATACAAAGTTTCAATTACAATTGACATTCTTTATGAAATATCAAAAACGATGTCCTGTATGTTTTTACCATACAATTGATAGAGAGTCATTTGAAAAAGAAATTGATGAGTTCTTCAATAATAAAGATTTGATTAAAAGGTTTGGAGGGACAAGCGCAATTAAACCATATAAAGCATTTGTTAAAAAAAATTCGAGGCATGTTTGATGCGATTGATTGGCATTTATTAAGTAAAGATAAAATAAACGAGGTCTTGAATGAATTTAAAATAACTAAATATCATGTATGGTCTTACTACAACACTAAATATCAAGTATGGCTACTAGTTAATTTGTTTTTCTGGGAATATATTTATTCAATAATAGGAAAAGACAATATCAAATATATAGACATTGGCGATATTGATAAATATGTAGATTACATATTTGAAGACATTTTTCCTGACTATAAATGTAACCCATAATTATTAATTGAAATATAATTATAACATGTAAAATATTATATGCTATAATTATACTATACTTATGGTTAGTTTCTTAATTTTATTAATGCCTTAAAATGACTTAAAGAAATAGTGCCTTAATATAATAAGAGGAAAATGAACGGTGATAAAATCAATAATTATATCAATAAAAAATGCTATGATTGTTGTCACTTCAAAAAAGAAAATATGGAATTGTATAAATTAAATTTACCTAATAAAATATTGAATAATATTGTTAATTATTCAATGGATGAAGAAGATGAATGTAAAATTTGTCAGGAATGGAGAGATAATCAAGTTTTAATCAAATGTCTGTTGAGAATAAAAGGGAGACATAATAGAAATGTAGAAGATGAGATTTTAATATTTCTAGCTGTAAATAAAATACCACCTTACGATTATATTAAACAGTTTCTTAAAATCCCTAAGAAAAAATATGGTATGATTGATGATATATTAAGGATGTTGTGTTATAGTCAAGAGAAAGGAGAAGATGTTAAAGAAAATATCAAATTATTTATTGAAAGTAAAAATTTTAATGTTCAAAATACATTGAGAGATATTAATATTATTTTTAAAATGATGTATGAAAGAAGTGAGACAAATCAATTAAATTATTATCCTGTACTGAAATTATAATCATACTATAATGATAACATGTAAAATATTATATGTTATAATTGTAATATATTTATCGTTTGTAAAGATTGAATTATTATAATTTGCTTATCTCTTTCAAAGTGCGTTGTTTAGACTTGGCATGCTTCTTCAATTTTTTCGTGCTTTGGCTGTTTGTTTTTGTTTTGTTTGATACTCTTATGATATTTTTTGTTGGTATGTTGCTTTGATTTTTGTTGATGTGTGTTTTTGAGTTTGGGTTCTTTGATGATTTAGAGTGTTGCTGTTTTGTTGGTATGCTTGTTTGAATTATTTAATGTTGCATGCTGTGATTAAATATTTTTGTTGCTGGTTGTGATTATTTATTTTGTTTGCTTGTTGTTCTGGATTTTGTTTTCTGTTTGTTGTGTTGCTGTTGGAGAAAAAATAGTAGAAAGAATAATTCTTTGAATTCTCCTTTTACTATTTTTTTGGGGGGGTTCTGGAGGGGTTGGGGGGGGTGGGGCTGGGGTGGGGGGGGCTGGGAAGGGGTTGGGGGGGCTGGGGGGGGTTGGGGGGGCTGGGGGTTGGGGGGTTGGGGGGTAACCGGATCCAGCCATTTCCCCAGATAGGTGCCCTTTCTCACCCACTTTTTTTGGGGGGAGAGAAAAGTTGGTGCCAACTTGTTCTAACCTCTCTACTGAAGGACCTGGTCTGTCTCTCGGTGTCTCTCTCTGTGTGTCTCTCTGTGTGTTGCTGGGGCTCTCGTGTGTATTGCAGAAAGAAAGGTGAGATGCAGACGTTCTGGACGAGGAGCGATTCAGCAAAGCTTTGCTGGTTGGTTTGTTTGCTGTTTTTGACTGCTTGAGGTGCTGTGGGTATGAGTCTTGGTCATGCTCTGAGTCTGATGTGCTCAAGGCACTGCCCATTTGGCGATGCAGTCCGGGTGCTGGTCAGGGAGCTGTTGCTTGGCACACTGGTCAAGGTGATGCTTTGTCTGAAAGGGGCATAACAAAATCAAAAGCAGTGAAGAACAAAACAAATAAAAATAACTAAACATATATATATATATATGTATATAATATATATATATATATATCTAGCTCTTTTTTTAAAAGAGACAGCCATGCATTTGTCCCTACGTGTTACCCGTGCCCCGGTCCCATTGCCACGGCCTTCTCGGCGGCTGGTCAGGCGCTGCACCTGAAGCTGCAGCTGAGCTCCAGCGACATGGCCTCGAAGCACCGGGAGCTGTTGCCCGGAGCCCTGAGGACTCGGGGACTCGCTGTGGGACTCGCTGGGGGACTCGCTGGGGAAAAGGCGGGGTTCTTGTGTGCTTCTCTTTTTTTTTGGGGGGGGGATGGTCTGAAAGGAGCTAGGGAAAAAGTGTTTTTGTTGTTTTTTGGGGCAGGGATGTCTCAAGAAACGTGGGGAAAGGGCGGTCTTCGCTTTTAAAAGAACATAATTTGGGGGCTGTTCAAGACACACGCCGCTGATGTTGCAAGTTCAAAACTCCCAAGGGGTGGTTTGCTTTTGGCCCCCGGAAAGAAAAAAAAGACAACGACCAAACGCCGGGTCTCGAAAAAGGACACGCCCATCTGTCCTGCTGAAAGGCACGTCACTCGAGGCTCATTTGAAAGGCAACCACAAGCTGATGTTACGGACTGCAAAGAGCTGATGTTAGGGATCTGACCCATGTTTCCCCACAAAAAGTGTCCTCAAGGAGGCGTTCAACAGTCTTATATGAGTTTGGGGGAAGGGGTGCTTGCCAAATTTAGAGTTTCTTAGTCATGAGGCGAGTGGGTTTGCCCTACAACCCCTTACGATTGTCTAGGCCCTCTCAGTGCTGCTGCTTTTCAGCTGTTTAAACATATCATGGCCTGTCTATTGAAACCAGACTGAACCCCAAATTGGAGAGATGTTCAAGCGCAATTTTGGTGAGTTCCAAGAGCAATTCAAAGGCGGGGGCCGGTTTGCTCAAACAACTGGAGCACGCTTTTGAACGCCCAGGCTACATAGTGCAACATCACCTTGACACGCTTGCCATGGCTTGTGCTTCTGGGCTGGCATGGCATGGGTTCTCATGATCACGAGAGATAAGTGTCACGCCAGCGCCTTCACACTGGCTCAGCAGTCTTGGCCTTTTGTACAGATAGTGTCAGTGTGCGCAGCGCAGTGGAGCTGCAATGGGTTGCGCTGGAGGCATCCACGTCAAAGAGAATGAACAAGTGGAGTATTCAGATTGCATTCAGGCAGAGGACCGATGGGAGTTGCTCTCAGTTTGGATCTATTTGCTGCGCCCCTTTTTAGGCTTCCGGCGAGTGTCATTGATTTGTTAAATCATGTTATTCAGGTAACCTGGTAACCCTTAGTTGGTGGTTTGGATTGGTGGTTTGGGGATTCGAACCCCTGGTTCTTGTAGGGTGAATGAGACACCACTTCTAAACACCAAACCACCAATCCAAATCACCCAGAGGGAAGGGCCGGGCTCACTTGGTTCAATCATCTGCCATCCATTTTCCCAGGCGCACCTACGGGTTTGTTTTTGAAAGTATAGCACGTGTCTAGCATGTATGTGCATATGGGCGTTTCACAAAATAGGACTCTTGTAAAATGAGCCTACATGACAGTCAAAAGGGGGTCTATCATTTTGAAGCACTCCCATACACACTTATGCTCGTTCCTGTGTTTGAGCAAATCACGGTTCATAGTTCAGGCCTGAAATGAGAACATGTCTAGTGTCTAGCTTAGCTTAAATGCGTGTCCGGCTCAATTCCGCCGCACAGCCAGCAAATTGCAAGCCTAGCTCTAGATTGTTTAACTGACAAATGACTCGATTGGTTGCAGCACATGTCAAACATACACACACACTCGAAACCGCTACTAGGCAAAGCCAGACGGATGACCAGACTAGCTGTCTCTCAATCAGGCACAAGTCGAAAAATGTGGGTCTTACCTTTTTTGCTGTTTGTTTCTTACTTCGGCGTTTCCTCATGGAAACACCCCGAGACCCCGGCGGAAGCCAGGGTCTAAGACACGAGGGCTGGAAGAACAGAGGATACGCCAGAAGGCTAGACATGTCAGATATGCCAAGCATGCACCGGAAACTCTAGGCCCATGTTAGGCAAATACTAGCAGCGTGGATGATATGCGTTGGACAGACATAATATATATATATATATATATATACATATATATGTATATATATATATGATAGAACATGCTAGATATGCGCTGGTACTGTGCAAGGTTGCTGCGCGCTTGCTTATCATATGTTTGGCTATTACATGCGTCAGGCAGAAAGTAGTCAACCGATCCGGCTAGGGAGTTTAAATATACGCAGGGGCCATGGTGATCCGGTCTCTGAACATCGACGTCTTGATCGCGAACCAATCGCGCACCTGAGTGCTGTAACATGCTCCGGGGCCCGAACCATTCTACACTCTCAGCAGGCCCCTTATATCTTCAACTAAAATCATCAGGCTGCTTTACTCCAAGGCTGCGTGCCAGTTGCGTTGAGTCGGCGCTGATGCGCTGCGCCGCGCTGCTTTTGTCCAAATTGAGGGCGTCAACATCCGGGCGCCGAAATGGTTCCGAATGCGAAAGCCCTGGCAATATCCACAAAGCACTCTTTGCACGGTGCGTTTGTCTTTCGGGTAGAGCGAAGCGCCAGTAGTCCGGACTCTGGTTTTGATGCCCTGCCTCAGGGACAGATTCCTATGTGAGTCCCATGGGCAAATCAAATTATATATATATATATATACATATGGTAGTGTGTCCCGGGTCCCCGCCCCCCCCCCCCCCCATGGTTTGGTCCCCCCACAAGGCCCCACTCCCCCGACCCAAGCAATCCGGCCCATCAATCCTAAGTCGAGCAGAAAGAACCCTACACCATCCAAGCTAAAACCCCACCCAACTCTAAACCCACAAAACCAACACCCATCCATGCGGATCCCATGCGGATCCGGCAGGCCTCGATCTCAGGTAAAGCGGACGGTCGCCTTTGCATTTCAAGCGCAAGCGCAGCCCGGGCCTACCATTTGGACTCGCCAGAAGGTTGCATCTGGACGTGAACTGTTTGCCTCTGCATCTGCGGGGGCGCACATTGTCAAAGACTTCGAGTGGCGCTGGGAATTGCTAAAACATCTTAGAATCCTCATTTTCCCGACTGCAGTGGACAGTGGGAACGCTCAGGAGAAGACGCGCTCTGAGGAGTCAAACCACCCACTAGCAAGATCCAAACACGCAATCGTAGCCTTCCTTTCTCGAGCGACACGCCGACGGGCACGAAGCCAAGGCAAGCCTTGACCATGGACTAGCCCTGATGGCCCAAGATGCTGCTGCGCCACAGATCATCATCTCTCAGGCTTGCGCCTTTGCAAATGACTTCCGGCACGTGGTGTCTCCCTTTCCGGCTCCGAGGCGGTGCGCGCTTCTGGATGGACGAAATCCTGCACCATTGTTGGTTCGTATGAAATGGATTTCATTTCGCAACCATCCACGGTAGGTCGAAGAAAATGGTCAGGCCCCTTCCAGGGTTTTGTAGGTGCTGCGAAATGAATTTCATTTCGCAACCATCCACGGTAGTTTCATCCATCCCAAGTGGTTTCATCCATCCCATCGCCGATTTTCAGAAGCGCCACCTCCGTGAGCCACTGGATGTTCAACATAGGTCTCAGCATAGGCCTTTGGGGTCAGGACATCTTGTTCCTCAGAGACCCCATGCGCCGGCTGACACATTGCCTGCCCCAGCCGACCACGGAGCCTGGCCTCAAGGAGCACGAGAAGCATGCGGAGCGCATGCGGAAGTTCCTCCAGGAGGCGACGCGCCCCGAAAAAGGGGAGGTCGATATCAAGCCTCTCAGGATCTCTAGGACAACGGCGTTTAAATGCCCAAGGTGTACATTGGCATGGATGATCCCACGTGTTGTTAGTTAGCGTGTTCGTGTGTTTGTTTGCTTGCTTGCCTGCTTGCTTGTTTTCGGTCTTTCTTTCTTTCTTTCTTTGTTTCTTTCTTTGTTTCTTTCTTTCCTTGCTTCCTTCCTTCCTTCCTTACTTCTTTCTTTCTTTATTTCTTTCTTTTTTTGTTTGTTTGTTTTTTGGTTTGCTCGCTTGCTTACTCGCTTTTTGGTTTGATTGATTGGTCGATTGATTTGATGGATTGATTGATTGATTGATTGCTTGATTTATTGAGTGATTGATTGATTGAATGATTGATTGATTGATTGATTGATTGATTGGTTGGTTGGTTGGTTGGTTGGTTGGTTAGCTGGTTTCATTGATTTAATTGGTTTGATTGATTGATTGATTGATTGAATGAATGAATGAATGAATGAATGCATGAATGATTTTATCTGATTTGTTTTGATTTGATTTAATTTGATTGAATGACTGACTGACTGACTGTTTGATAGAATAGTTGCTTGATTGTTTGATTGACTGACTGACTGATTGATTGCTTGATTGATTGACTGATTGACTGATTGACTGATTGACTGATTGACTGATTGATTGACTGATTGTTTGATTGATTGTTTGATTGCTTGATTGATTGGTTGGTTGGTTGGTTGATTGATTGATTGATTGATTGATTGATTCATTGATTGATTGACTAATTGATTGATTGATTCATTGATTCATTGATTGGTTTTGATTCATTGATTGATTAATCGCTCGATTGGCTGATTGATTGATTGATGGATCGATTGATTATTGATTGATTGATGGATTGATGGATTGATTGGTTGGTTGGTTGGTTGGTTGGTTGGCTGGTTGGTTTGATTGATTGATTTGATTGGTTTGATTGGTTTGATTGGTTTGGTTGATTTGATTTGATATGATTGATTGATCGATGTGCGTGATTTGCCTTGTTTGATTGGTTTGATTTAGTTTAATTGATGTGTTTCAGTTGATTGATGCAACTGAATGTGTATGCATGGAATGCAATATGCATGTAATGTAAGGTAATATGCAATGTATATGCATGCAATGTAACGTAATACGCATGTAATGTCATGTAATGTAGTGTAATGTGATGTAATGTAATCTAATGTACCGTAGTGTAATGTATGAATGTACGTATGTATGCAAGGTAATTCAGCGTAGTGGATGTATGTATGTACTCGTATGCATGTGTGCGTGCAATGTAGTGCAATTCAATGTAATGTAATGCAATGTAATCCAATGTAATGTAATGTATGTATGTATGAACGTATGTATGCAAGGTAATTCAGCGTAGTGGATGTATGTATGTACT